ACAGTAGGTCTGTCTCACGGACTGTCGAGTACGCGTACGACGATTTTTGCATCGCCGAGATGGCCCAGGGACTCGGCCACAAGGAAGACTTTGAGAAATACATGCAGCGCAGCGCCAACTGGCAGAATCTCTGGAACCCGGCCCAAGAGGACATCATCCAAGACAAGGACAAAAAGGAGGTCGAGAGGACGAAGTATACGGGGTTCCTGATGCCGAAGTTGATGAATGGCTCGTTTACGTACCAGAACACGCGTATTTGTTCGCCCAATACCGAGCAGCATCTCTGCTACTTCGACACTGCCCAGGCGACATACGAGGGCTCACCATGGCTGTATTCGTTCTTCGCACCGCAGGATATGGCAACCTTGATCAAGCTCATGGGAGGTCGGGATGCGTTTGCCGACAGGCTCGAATACTACCACAGCGGCAACATCGTCTACATGGGCAACGAACAGGCGTTCCTTACAGTGTTCCAGTTCCATTACGCGGGTAGACCCGGCCTCAGCTCCCGCACCACGCGGAGCTACATTCCTTCGCAATTCAACGCCACGATCAACGGCATTCCTGGCAATGATGACTGTGCAATGGGGGCTTTCAGCGCGCTTGCTATGATGGGGTTCTTCCCCGTCGCGGGGCAAGACGTGTACCTCGTCATCCCGCCTTTCTTCCCCGAGGTACGGCTTAAGAGCCGGGGGGCTAAGCCCGCTGTTATCCGAAAGGTCGCAAAAGATGACAAAGAACTTGCCGAGGGTATCTACATTCAGAGCGCCACTCTGGACGGAAAACCATACACGAAAAATTGGATAAACCACGAGTTCTTCTACCACGGCGGTGTACTGGAGCTCACCGTCGGCTCGAAGGAGAGTGACTGGGGCACCAAAGAGGAAGATGTGCCTCCCAGCTATGCAGCGACACCAAAGACAATAGCGCCAACTCGAACCCAAGTTTGATTGTGCTTGAAGGTGTATAAACAAAACAACAGCGTCAATAGCGTCAATAGCGTCATGTACATCATGCCATGACTGTCTCCAGTAATTATATAGAATTGTACAGAGTAATTGCACCCACAAATGCCTCGATTCAACGTATCATTCTCTGTCTGGCAAAAATGAAGGCTACGCCGACGGCAACAGCTCCCCCTGCTGCCGAAACGACATCGGAGGGACCCAGCTCACATTTGAAATTTGGAGGCGGTGATTGGACGGTTGCAGCTCGGTGCCCCAGACGTTAAACTCTTTGCAGCGTCGGACGGTTACTCGACTTGCTTGGAGTCACTCGGCTTCTCCCGGCCATTGCTACGCAGGTACCTTTCAGCTGTAAAAAGAGCATCCAAGAATACCAAAAGTCTACCTGATGTTGAAGCTGCAGATAGCTGCGTTGCAGAAGTACTGACCGAGTCCAAACACCACGACCGGTTTCTCTCGGCTATCACCACCCACAGAAGCCAGGGCCCGAGCTGGTGGGCGGCAGTACAAGCATTTTGACCACCCCTCGCATTACGTATTAGAGACCGGGGGGGGGGGGGGGGGGGGGGGGGGGGAAGAGAAACGAAGCTCGTCAAAGACTTCCCCAGTGTCTATTGAAAAGGATCCGCCGCCGTGTTTTTTTCCATTTCTCCAGGTCCCGCTAGACTTTGAACCGCACCACTGCCAATTGACGAACCACAAGGTGACTTGATAAAGTGGTGCATACGGCACGTAGAGAGAGGAAGAAACACCAATTGCACCCGCGTCACTAGCTTTCTTCGGCTTCCCTTCTCAAAGCGCACGAGGGAACGGAGCGAACCTACGCCCACGCCGACTTGGACGTTCCTTGCGGTAGTCCGATTCACTAGAAAGGGACAAACTCCTACCCCATCTTACGACACGATCAACTACAGCATACACGCACACGCGCGCGCATACAAATCTTTTACATAGCCAAGATGAACACCTCGGCATCACCTCTTGCGAGGAGTCTTCAGCGCAGCACGCGCAACCTCTCAAGGTGTCGATTCCGGACTACACGTCCCGCCCAAGCAGGACTCGCCACCACCGCTACCACCACCACCATCACCACCAGCAGCTCAACAACCACTTCAAGAACGACGACGGGGAGGTTACCTTCTACACGGGCCTCTGCCGGTGTTACGATCTTCAGGCCTCTGGGCGCACGCACTTTCACGACGAGTAGGACACGACGGAGCAATGACGACGACGAATTCGATCCGGCAACGATTGAGCGTGAATCAGATGAGGTCGATGTTGTCATTGTAGGCGGCGGTACGGAACCAGTCTACCCCTTGCACCCTCGTGCAATCTACTTTGTGTCTAAATCCTCAATGAGCTGACAATGCCCTCAACACTCCAGGCCCCGCCGGTCTCAGCGCCGCGATCCGACTCAAGCAGCTCGCCAACGAAGCGGGCAACGAAGACTTCCGCGTCCTCCTCCTCGAAAAGGCCGGCGAGATGGGCGCCCACATCCTCTCGGGCGCCGTCATCCAACCAACGGCCATTGACGAGCTGATCCCGGACTGGCTGTCCGAGGACAACCCGGACCGCTTCGAGTACGCCACGCCCGCCGGCGGCGACCGCATGCGCTTCCTCACAAAGTCCGCCGCCATCCCCCTCCCGACCCCGCCGCAGATGCACAACGACGGCAACTACATCGTCTCGCTGAACCAGTTCACAAAGTGGCTGGGCGACCGCGCCGAGGAGCTCGGCGTCGAGGTGTACCCCGGTTTCGCCGCCTCCGAGGTTCTCTACAACGAGGTCGACGGCAGCGTAAAGGGCGTCGCCACCAACGATCTCGGCATGGGCCGCGACGGGAAGCCCAAGGACGCGTTTGAGCGCGGCATGGAGTTCCACGCGCGCTGCACGCTGTTTGCGGAGGGGTGCCACGGCAGCCTGAGCAAGCAGGTCATTAAGAAATTCGACCTGCGCCGCGACAGCCAGCACCAGACGTACGCGCTGGGTATCAAGGAGGTGTGGGAGGTGCAGCCGGAAAAGTTCCAAAAGGGGTCCATCACGCACTCCATGGGCTACCCGCTATCCAAGGACCTCTACGGCGGCGGCTGGATGTACCATTTCGGAGACAACTTGGTCAGTATCGGCCTCGTCGTCGCGCTCGACTATGAGAACCCGTGGGTCTCGCCCTATGGCGAGTTCCAGAAGATGAAGCACCACCCCATGTACAAGGAGGTCCTCGAGGGCGGGAAATGCCTCACGTACGGCGCGCGCGCGTTGATCGAGGGCGGGTTCCAGTCGATTCCCAAATGCGCGTTCCCCGGCGGCGCGTTGATTGGCGACTCGGCTGGCTTTGTGAACTTGCCCAAGATCAAGGGCACGCACAATGCCATGAAGTCGGGCATGCTCGCCGCCGAGGCCGCCTTCAGCGCTCTCTCTTCCAGTAGTGCGGCAGCAGAGGAGGCAGAGGGAGAGGGAGAGGAAGCCGAGGAGAAGCCGCGCGACACGGTCTTCTTGTACGACTACGAAGACAAACTCCGCAAGTCGTCCATCTGGAAAGAACTCAAAGAAGTGCGCAACTTCCGTCCCTCATTCCACACCCCGCTCGGCTTATACGGCGGCATCGCCTACTCCGGTCTCGAAGCGTACGTCCTGAAGGGCCGCGTGCCCTGGACGCTGAAGCACAAGACGCCAGACCACGCGGCGACAGGTAGCGCAGACAAGTTCCAGAAAATCGAGTATGAGAAGCCTGACGGCAAGATCTCGTTTGATATCCTCACGAGCGTCAGCCGCACGGGCACGAACCACGAGGAGGACCAGCCGGTGCATTTACAAGTCAAGGACTGGGAGAAGCACACGCGGGAGACGTGGCCCAAGTTCAAGGGCGTCGAGAACCGGTTCTGTCCGGCGGGTGTGTATGAGTATGTTGAGGACGATACCAAGGAGCTTGGGGTGCGGTTCCAGATTAACGCGCAAAAGTGAGTTTCCCCCTCTTTCCCCCCTTATTGCCCTGCTACCGCCAAGGGAACGTTTTTGACTGACGGTATTTTATCTACAGCTGCATCCACTGCAAGACGTGCGATATCAAGGCGCCGAACCAGGATATCAACTGGCAGGTTCCGCAGGGCGGCGAGGGACCCAAGTACTACATGTCATGAGATGACTTTTATATATATCCCTTCAGCATCATGGAGTATCTACAGAGAGAGGTCTTGTCTTGTATCCCATCTGATTCGAACTTTCAAGGTTGCTGCCATATCCTTCATCAGATTAGACAAAACAGATGAGATATTTATACGATATTACCCAAGACGAAGGTACGAAAATGGCAAAAAAAAATTTAGATGCAAGGGGTCAAGGATATGGCTTTGAACGCATAGAGGCCCCGAGTTGAATGCCGGTGTCAATGGATTGTGTTACCAGGATAGGGAGCAGTTGCACGGAGTATTCATAGTCAGAATACTCGTCAAAATGAGTAAAAGGCAGAAATTTCATGACAAAGAAAAACCTGGAGGTTTGCCATGTGATTGCGCAGACCATTTACCAATCCCAAGAGGTAACAACAACAGCAACCAACCAGCAGCGCAATTGACTACCTTAATCGGTCCGCATCGGCCAAAGAAAAACGACGCAGCGATACCCTTACTCCTCCAGTGTATGAATGACGACACACGGTTTCCCATCTAGGCTTTGCCCGGCTTGGGAGTGTGTGTGCCAGTGTGTGGCATATCAGACGAATGCCCAACACTTTTCCAGCCAGCATGACGGAGAAGTTCTGGAAGGACAAAGGCCGAAGTCAAGGGGTCCCGACTGTTGCGACGTCGTTCGGCTCGTGATTGACAATGGTATGGATTGAATAAGATCAATCTGAGGGAGAGCGGAAAGGTGGAGGAAGAGGATGGGGCTAATGCTGAATCAAGTCGACACACACACCGCGAATGAGTCCCTGCAGGAATAGCATTATCCTCGTGCCAAAGTCGCGACTGCACGGAGTGGCTCCCGATCGGAGGTAGACCTCGACTCAGGCGGGATGCGGAATGGGGGGGGGGGGGGGGGGGGGGGACGACATCGGAGACAACCAAGGGTGCGATGCGACTTGCGAGACACTTGCGGTTCCTGGACTCCATGCGTTAGGCGAGGCTGGAACGGGAGCCTACAACACTACGAAAGTATGGGACACATTGCAGGATGTGAAGAATGCGGGCTCAGGCCGTCTCAGTGGCGTGCAGCTTCGAGTTGGACAAGCGTACTTTGATCTCGTCGGATCGCGTTGGTTGCGTGCCAGCTCATCGAGTCGTGTAGCTCTTTGGGTTTGTTTGGTTTCTTAGGGTGGTTGGGAACTCAAGGTAGTTGCTGCCGCTGCCCAAAGCGAGAACTGGCAGTGCGATGGGCAGCCAAACCTTGGGCGTCGCGATGGAGGCAGAAATAGGATCGACACAGCGTGACAGAGTCTCAAGAGAGTGTGGTGCCAAGTGTAAGCGAGAGTGAGCCACCTCCATGTTCCAACGAGGCTGTCGGACTTTTGGGAGTTTAATGTTGAAGTTGCATGAGTCGCAGTGCAGATGGAGCTTTGGCAGGGCCCGCAAGGCCGAGATGCGGCCTTAAAACCGTATAGAAAAGCAAGCACCTGGCAAGCAGCAAGCAGCAGCTGCAAGCACGAGGTTCGGGTGTGAAAAAAGGAAAAAAATTGGCCTGAGGTTTTAGTGCAATGGGGCTCGCACATGCATGAGTCGCGAGGGCAAAGCCGAAGACGTGGACGAAGTACCTCGACTTTGGGATGGATCCAGAGGTACTTCTGAGTGCACGGACCACTACCACAGTCTCGCCAGAGACCTGGTACCCGATACCTTGTTGTAAGATTGCAATAAAATTCGCATCTGTAATATTGCTGCAAGCGCCCTTTCTCTGCATCCATGGCGAAGCAACGCCCAGCCATGCTTGGGCTAGATCGAAGTCAAGCGGACGAAGAAGGGCGAGCTGAGCTCAAGAGGTGTCGTGTGTATGAGCGAACTTACACGATATGTAAATGTGTTTGGGGAAAGGCGAGCCGCAAAAGGGCCTTGGTGGATGTCGACAGAGTTTTTCATCGGGCGAAAGTTCGGGTTCCAGAGAGAGAGAGAGAGAGGTTCCCCAGTGATGGGCCGCGGCGTGGCAAGGCTCGCGTACCCAGTACTTTACGCGCCAGTCTTGTTGCGGGGGCCTAGGGGGAGAAAGAAGTGGGAGGCGAGCGACAAACACGCACCATTGTTCAGACTGGCAGACCCAGCCCTTTTTCTCAATGCTTTTTTCCCCCTCTTGCCCCCCCCCCCTTGCCATGGCTGGCACTGGCCGATTGGAGCCGGTCTGAAGTCAATGACTCACACGTCGCAAGCCGTCTGTTTGCTGCCACGGCCCATAAATTTCTGCCAACAGACCGCGAATGCCCGAAAGCAGTGCAGACGCCATGAAAAATAGGTGCCGTTTTCGCGTTCCTGCCCGTGGTCATGACGGTCCCTTTTTGTTCCTTGTTGTTCGGTCCCCGCGTTTGTGTCGTGTCCTCGCGTCCGGGCGACATGCCGACAACGTGGTCTGGTGACCCTTCTGACAGGTTTGACGGCGAGGCCGTTCGCTCATGTTGCTGGTTCTTGCCGCTGCCGCCGCTTTGCACTGACAGAGCTCGTGTCGGAGGTGATCGTCAGTGAGGCCATCAAAGTAGGGGGCAGGCTCAGCGTTTCAGAGCGCTAGCGTGTGGTTGGAGACTGAGGTGAGAGGGTTGGAAGAGGGAAAGAAAACTCTTGGGTTGCTGGGACGAGAGGATGAAAAAAATCATAAAAAGGGGGGGAGGGAGGGGGGGCAGGTCAGAAAGGGGTGAGGATGGAAGGGGGGGCCCCAGTCGGTGTCAATCCAGACCAACACCCCCCAGTGGTTGGACTCCTGAACTCATGGAGTCGTGGGTGTGCTGCAGCTGCCAAAGAGACTGACGCGGCGCTGAGGAGCCTGTTGGAGCCTGCCTGGCTTGCTTGCTAGGCTTGCCTGGACGGATAGGATAGATATCCGTACGGACTATCGACAGACGGGACTGGCAGGCCGCAGACTGGGAAGAAGGAGAAAGAAGCGAGCGGAATGGCGGAATGGGTCGGCAGGTCGTGGGTTACGGGTAGCGTTTGTGGTAGCGGTACCCGTACGAGGTAGCGCCGCCAGTGGGATTTTGCATTTGGTTGGCGTCCAGATGGTCTTGACACGGCCCACGGCCTATTACCCGGCTGGATTTTGGCGGGTTTTGGGCTGGAGCTGTCGCGGGACGCAGTGCGGTATCCGTAGTCCGTACTGCGGTATGAGCAAACGAAGACGCGCCATTCGTTCCGATTCATCTGTTTGAGCGCAGGGCTGGAGCGAATGAAATCGTCGTCATTCTCCTGTCAGATGTGGTTGGTTTAGCCGTGATGTCAGTCTTATTGCTGCTGCTGCTGAGAGCTGACCCGTCGCGTCGTAAGGCCGTGGCAAGAGGTGATGGAGAGTGTTGCATTCTGACAAGTGTGTGAAAGCCGCGTCCGTGGTAGGGAAGCGGTAGGTCAAGGTCGCAGTTTGTCCACAGGTCCGAAATGAAAGCGAGGAAGAGAAGAGCTTGCGATCGGAGTGGATGATCAAGCCGGGTTGCGTTGACGGAAGAACGAGGGAGGACCGACTGAAAAAAGTGTGGCCATCAGGGATGGGCCAGGAAGGTAGGCGAGTCGAGTCACAGCTGGCAGGGGGCAACGATAAAAAAAAAAAAAAAAAGGGAAAATAGATAAAATAGAAGGGCAAGAAAGTAGGCGGGCTCCGGGGCAACAGAGAAAAAAAAGAGGATGGCAGATGATGATGACATAGGATCCATCAGGGAGGGAATCTCAGCCTCTGGTGGTGAAGGGAACCTGGCAGTAATCCGAGAACGGGCCAGTGGCAGGTTGGCAGCTGTAAGAAGGGCGCGTCAGAGGCAAGTGAGAGAGGCAAAGCAACGCAAGGAGAGGAAGAAAAAGGGTAAGAAAAGAAGGGTAAGCACTGGCCAGAATGCATTGTCGCAAAAAAAGAGACTTGGAGGGGGAGAAAATCAATGGATTTCACATTGCAAAGTAGAGAGACCTTGGACGCGGTGCTGCGATACTTCAGGGGCTGGGGTGGTCACAGCAGGGGTACATGGGGACAGGAAGGAGATAAAATGAAGATTTTCTGGTGTTTTGATTGGGCGCAAGCCCTTAGCGCGGCCGCTAAGCACAAGCAATGTCAAGCAGGACCAACCGCCACGGCGCACTGGCTGCCTGGGGCCCCTGGGTTGTGTGGCAGGGGGGTGTCGTTGGGGCGACTGCTCAGGTAGGCCATGGCCAAAATTATAAAGAGGCAGGCCTCCCTCCAACCCGCTTGTTTCGAAATTCTTGCGCGGAAGCTCCGACCGACGGCCTTGCGTAGTCATCCACTCACGTTCGGCCTTTCTAATTTTCCTTCTCCACCCCCACTCAATCCATCCCCAAACCTCCAATCACGATTTGAGATACGATTTCGCATCGTCCCTGTCATCATCGTCATCGCAACATCACCAGACCGATAGACACATCTGCTGTCATCAACCTACACACACACACTACTTCCTCGCGATCCTTCTGGACAACAAGCTCGCTGTTGCGACTCTGTTTCCAAACATCGGAAGTCTACCTACCCTCCCTATTAACCAGCCGACGAACCTGTCAATCCTCAGAAACCCCAAGTGGAATATCTTCTTAACTGAAAGAGTCCCCCGGATCTCGTACTCTGAGACGAGAAAAGAACTGGAATACGTTCCTTTCGAGACATCCCTTCGTCAAACTTCCCGCGCGAACCCCTTCCGACGACACACCAGGTCGAGAACGAGTCCGTTGCACTCTGTAGACATAGCACGCACCGTCGCCGAATAGAGACACCGTGCTTTGAACCGTGACGAGGTATCCAGAGACGTCGAGTTGATTGCTGGTATCTGGGTCATTCGCGACATCACCGAAGCGACGCCTACGAAACCCACGACCTTCTCGTCGACCTACCTCACTTGATCCATTTGCATCCCGTTCCCGCCGCTGTCACAAGCTTGGCACTGATCGCAAAAAAGTCGCATCGCAAGATACACGCGCATTCCTACCTACCTACTGTCCAGTAGGCACTGTAGGGGAGACATTTATTTGTTCATCTCCAACAACTGGTATGGCCCTCCTTCCTCTTCCTTCCTCTTCTGTCGTGGGCGGCGTACCTTCCCCCATATGCCTGCCTACCCATCTCCTTCGTGCCTTCCTACCTACCACAAATGTGTGGAGTGGCTGGCGCTCGTGATTGGCCCCTCAACCTTCCACGTATAAATATTACTACATCTTTCACCTCACCAACACTCCCCATTAGCACAATATCGACACGCATGACCCACTACACATTGTTACATTATCACTTCACCGTCGCAGACTTGGAGTATCGCTTCATATTCTATCATTACTACAATCGCGTTTGATACAAGAGACTAATTCGCGAGGCGTCAGATCTGCTCATCTCTCCGGTCTCGGGTCATCATCCATCAACCGCAATCATGGAGGCGATTCAAACCCATCCCACGAGCGCAGCGCAGGCCAAGGCCTTCACCGCGCCTGGTTCCCTCTCGTTCCCCGGCGGCGCTCACGAGCTTCCTCCCCAGGCGAACGGTGATAAGGCTGCCGTCAACGGACAGATTCCTGTGCCCAACGGTCAGCAACCTGCAAACGGTACCGGGGTGACACCCGCGACACCTGCTGCGACGCCGGCCGCGACACAGGGTGGAAGTGGCTTGACTCCTACGTTGCAGTATGTATATCATGAGTGATCTTTTTTCTGCTCAATGAGGCTTATCTCGCCTACTCAAGGAACATCGTTGCCACGGTAAACTTGGATTGCCGCCTGGACCTCAAGACGATTGCCCTGCACGCGAGAAACGCAGAGTACAACCCCAAGGTGAGACCTGACGACTCGTGACTTAAGTCAACCTGTCGCTAACGATGAACTACTAGCGCTTCGCTGCCGTCATCATGCGTATCCGTGAGCCCAAGACCACCGCCCTGATCTTCGCTTCTGGCAAGATGGTCGTCACCGGTGCCAAGTCTGAGGATGACTCGAAGCTTGCGTCCCGCAAGTACGCTCGTATCATCCAGAAGCTCGGATTCAACGCCAAGTTCACGGACTTCAAGATTCAGAACATTGTCGGCTCTTGTGATATCAAGTTTCCCATCCGCTTGGAGGGTCTTGCCTCGCGCCATCACAACTTCAGTTCTTACGAACCCGAGCTGTTCCCTGGTCTCATCTACCGCATGATCAAGCCCAAGATTGTGCTTCTTATCTTCGTCAGCGGCAAAATCGTCCTCACCGGTGCCAAGGTGCGAGAGGAGATTTACCAGGCCTTCGAGATGATCTATCCCGTGCTTCAGGGTAAGTACCTATCCGGTCATTTCAGTCTTCACTTACTAACTCTTCGCCAGATTTCCGCAAGGTCTAAAAAGACTCTTGAACACAAGGACAGATCATCGACCCAATCGATGTACTACTACCACACAAAAAATTACCGACTTTGTACGACTAGACAACCCTTTTTTCACGATACCACGAACTTTTTCGCACACAACCCAAAAAAATTCGAGCGTCCGTCATCTGGCAACATGGCCATGACACAAGTCACCGACGCCCGTTCTGCTTACTTGATTTATTTCCGCTGCATTGCATTGGCGTTGGTACAGGAGGTAACCTAGGCCGGAAGTTTCCGGTCAGGTGGTTGATTGAAACGAAAAGAACAAGATTTCTCATTCCGCGGCACTACATAGACTGCTCGTGGCACCGTCGACGGCAGATGCGCAGGTCGACCTCGCCGTTCTTTAATGGACTCGACTTAGATGCATTGGGGTCTCAGACCGGATGGGGGATGAATAACGACGGAGTTGAAGTTGCCCCCTGGACAGTAGGTCGGGAGGGACTGCAGGTGGATGTGGGAAACCGGTTTTGCAATGAACGTTGCCAGTCTTTAGGTGACAAGACCGATCACTCTAGTCTTACTTTGCGTTTAGTCTGCAAGTTTGATTCGAGTTGACAAGACGGCATTCATTATTTTTAGTACAAAGTCAACACCCGGTTTCATGAAACTCCATGACCCCTCAGTGATAATGATCTGTGACCTAGCAACTGTTACGCTCAAGTTGTTATCCGGTTATTACGTATTACAATAATCTCCTGAAGACACTTGCCCATCTCTTACTTCACTGATCTCACAATTGTCTCGACATTTGCATCGTTATTCGCGGCTCTCGATAAATACTTGATGACTATACATTTTCAACAGCTCTATCTCTACGGTTGCTGCATGGTATCTACATTCAGCATGTACCTACGTCAATATGATCTTGACACCGAATGCGCAGAGAATATGTCGCACGTCTACAACTTAGCTTGCTCCTGCTTCAGCAAGAGACCAGGGATACCGCCTCGGCTCCCGTCCTCCGTCATGATATGCTCGTACAGATCCGTCACATCCGCCTTGCTCTTGACCTCCCTCCACCGCCACTTTTCGGTAAATCCCTCGTCGCCGCGGCCCTCGAGCACGTTTACGATTTCGCGACCGAGGACTGGCAAGAACTTGAAGCCGTGGCCGCTGCCGCCGGTGGCGACAAAGAGGTTGCGCGCCGAAGGGTGGTGGCAGACGAGGAAGTCGCCTGTTTGGGTGTCGGTGTACCAGCACAGGCGGGTCTGGACAAAGGGGCGGTCGTGGATGGCGGGGATGGGGACGATGGTGCGGACGGCTTTGCGGAGGGCGGCGACGCCTTCGGCGGGGAATTTGAGGTTGGGGTCGGTGAGGTGGGTTGCGGGGAGGGAGACTGTTGAGGTTGTCGAGGACGGGGTTTGGGGCGATGGGTGGGGGATGGCGGTTGGGTTGAGGTAGCCGAAGGCGTGGCGGGCGACTTTGAGTTGTAGGCCTGAGGGGGGGATCATGAAGAGGCCGGTGCTGAAGTTGAGGGTGACGGGCATCTTGCGGAGGACCTCGAGCTCGGTTGGGGTGATGTCGATGTAGCCTACGGCCTGGCCCGTGGCGATGGCCTGGCCGGAGAGGTCTACGAGAGCGCCGGTCCAGGCGCCGGCTGCGACGACGACGAGGTCGGCGGAGAGGACGGAGCCGTCTTGGAGGGTTGCGCCTGTGACGGTCGACTTGTCGGGTGTGTAGTTTAGGCGGGTCGCGACGCCCGAGATGAAGGTGACGCGGTTGAGAGCCACGACTTTACGCGCGAGGTAGGACATTGAGGCGCCGGCGTCGGCCCAGCCTGCGAGAGGGTTGATGTAGCCCCATGTACCGGGGGCCTCGGGGGTGCCGAGGTAGTCCTTGATGGCTGTGGGCGTGGGCAGCTCCTTGATGATCTTGTCGCCGTCCTTGCCTGCCAGGGAGACGACGTTGTTGTAGCTTTCGCGGACGTATTCGAGAGACGTCTTCTTGGCATTTTGCTTGGCGTCGGCGTTGGTCTTTGCTGCTGAGGCGGAGGAGGAGGAGGAGGAGGAAAAGTACGAGGTCGAGGCCGTGGCGATGGGGTCGGCGACGAGGCAGAGGCCGGATTGGCTGTAGCGGCCCTCTGCGCCGAGGTCAGAAGGGTGGGAGGTCTTGCGCCATTCGGTCTGAGCCTCTGCGGCGAGGGTCGCGTAGGCCGGGTCGGCGTAGTCTGCGCGGATGATGCGTGAGGAGTCGACGGAGGCGGCGTCCTCGCTGGGGCCGGGGATCGGAGAGCGGTCGAGGACTGTGATCTTTGTTGAGGCGTAGCGGGGGCGCTGGGCGAGCTCGTAGGCTGTGGTCAGGCCAAAGACGCCGGAGCCGATGATGAGAATGGAAGAGGGTGCTGGCTCTGTCGCCGCTGCCGCCGCCGGGTCGGAGGGCATCTTGTGACTCGTCTGGTGTTGGTGTCTGTGGAGGGGCTATGTCGTGAACGTAGTTTCGTCTGCTATCGGGGCGGGTACCCGGCACGGGAGCGGGAGAGCAGGGAGATCACACGGGGTAGAGGTACTTTTGAGAACTCTTGAAGCCAAAGGGACAGGAGAGAAACATTACCTTAAGAAATGCAACGGACAGGATAGGACGAAGAAATAATAGTGCGGGTCGGTCTCTAGGAGTGGGAATTGGCGGTGCGGAAAGCTCACCGCACGCGGCACACGTACGAGGGAAGGGCGTTATCGGAGGTCAAATTTTTTTTTCTTCCTTTCCTCTGGGGAGTCTGGGCTACGTTATCCAATGGGTGGGAGGTCGGTAGCGTCTCCCAACTCCCGGGGGTAAGGTAGGTCTCGCGTCGACTTGCTCGCTGGAAATGGCGTTGGCGGGGTCAATTCATCGGTGTATCGTAAGTTTTTCCTTCACCCCCAGGCGAGGGACAGGCCTGGGAGTTGTTGGCGTGCGGGCAGCTTGGCGCGGGGCCGACCGGTGCTTTTTTTTCGCCCATTCTCTTCCTTCCCCTGCGAGTCTGCGACCAGGAGTGGGATGGGGGGAGTCTGGAGGGGTCATCATGTAAGGTCAATGCCGTTGGTTGGGGGTCCGCCAGTTGGGAATAGTCGGGATCGGTAAGGTTGGTTCGCAGGTCGGCCGACAGTTGCATGAAGGGAAAGGTTTGGCGGTGGGTTAGGTGTCGCGGCAGTACGAGACGGACGTGGTCGCGTGGTCTTTCGACTTGGGGAGGCTTGGCTTTTCCGATGTAGGCGGCGGGCGGGTGGATGCGTTGGTCTTGCTCACAAGATGAAAATGGCACTTAACGATGGTTGTCCTGCAACTTGTGCAGCAGAGCCTTGGTTATCCTGGCCTCCCCTCGGCGATGCGCGATGGTTGATGGAAGATTGTCGACGTCATTCTTGCTGGCAATGTAATGGCGGGAAATGAAATCAGTGCGCTGGGCTTGTCGGGTTGAGCTCAAATAGCCGGCATTGTCCCCCAACTCAGGCGAAAGGCTGCTTCTCTCCCCGTCGTTTGCTTCAGCGATTGCACGTTGACGCCCTCGCAGTCTTAGCCGCGGTTGCGGTGATAATTTTCATCCAACAATATCAGGCCCAATGGTCTAGAGGTATGATTCGCCCTTCGGGTCTAAAAACCCTTCAGCATAGCTTGAATGGGCGAGGCCCCGCGTTCGAATCGCGGTTGGGCCCCTGATAACTTTTGCCGTTTTTGATGTTTTTGCCATCTACACGATAATATCGATCGATCTACAATGAATTAAGTAAGGTAAAAGACGTCGTCGAATTGCGATGCTCAAGGAGAGGAAAGCAAATTTGGTAGACAAATAATAGCAAATAAAAGTCAGGCACTCCCAGCCTTGAGCCGGACCGTGTCAAGCAGGTCCCATGTTCCATCCACTGTCAGTCGCTATGTATCGCCTGAGCCCATCAAACACAACACAGCAGGCCCAGTCACACATATCACATCACCACCACAAGGCTGACTTAATGATGACCGTTGGGCTTCTAAACAAGGAAACGTTGATGCAACCTAGACCATGGCCAGCCCAGCCCAACCCACCTTACCACCTTACTTACGGCTCTTTGTACAAGACCGTATGAATCCCCTTCCTCTTCCCACCACCCACACCGTGCGGGGTTCGAAGTCACATCCCCGCTTTCAGCTGTCCCACGCCGTCTTCCCTGTCTCAAACCACCTCTCACTCACCCAAATCTTCCTTCACAAACAAAATCCAGTCACCCAAAAAAAGACAACCACATAAAAAGATGGTGAGAATTCGCATCTTCAGTTTAATGAGAGACTATCAATGAGCTGCAGCTGACATGCATTTGACAGGCTGCACAGTTGACTCAAGAGCAAAGGGCGCAGTACAAGGAGGTGTTTGACCTCTTCGTAAGTTCTCACTGACCCCTCCGTCACTCTCTCATGGGCTGCCTCAATGCCCCTCCCCCTTTCCACCTTTCCATCAGGCTGGCGGCGCATTGTGAGGAGTTTGCGCAACATGCTCTTCAGACCTCAAATCGATCATCTTTACTAACATATTATCTGCGCAAAATAGGACAAGGATGGGACAGGTCAGTTTTATATTCTTCCACGAACCCTTTGATTTTTGGTTTGCTTCGCCTCCTTCCATCGACAAACTGGGGGGTCATTGAAACTCGACTTGAACCCTCTTTGGTAGGATGAGCGCGGGAGAGGGGAGTGGCTTAGACTCTTTTTTCCATCTCATCTTGCTCTTTCATTTTATTTTATACCCTTCTTGTTTTATATGCGATTCCTCTATTGTTTTTCCATCCCATCACGGAAATTGACATTGTCCCTGCAGGTGACATCACCGCCCAGGAGCTTGGCGAGGTGATGAGGTCCCTCGGCCTCAACCCCAGCGACACCGAGTTGAACGACATGGTCAACGAGGTCGATGCCGACAACAATGGCACCATTGACTTCAACGGTGAGATGGAACCGCCTCCGCCTTCTCGAGACCCTATCCTCTGGGATACGTATGCTGACGGATTCTGACTTTAGAGTTCCTTAACTTGATGGCGCAAAAGGTGCAGGTCGGCGACGCCGAGGAGGAGCTCAAGAACGCTTTCAAGGTGTTTGACCGCGACGGCAGCGGCACCATCTCGGCCGAGGAGCTGCGCCACGTGCTCACCTCCTTGGGCGAGAACATGACTGCGGCGGAGATTGATGAGATGATTCAAATGGCCGACAAGGATGGTGATGGATCAATTGACTGTGAGAAGACTTCCACTCAGTCCCTTCTCTCGTTTCTCCAGCTTTGTCCATAGCTGGGCTGGGTGTTGTGATTGATGCTGACTGATTTTCGCAACAGACGACGAGTTTGCCTCAATCATGATGAGAGAGTAACAGAAAAGAAGAAAAAGGGGGACTTGTGGGTTTCTTGGCGGTGATATCCATCGTTCAGTATTTTGTTTCTTTGGGTTTCGGTCCGGTTATGTGGGTAGAGCGAAATCTGCCTAGTTTCTCTTTGGACCTATGGGTTGGTCTCAATATCACGATACTCTCACGATGTGGGATCTTGGAATGATCGACAACGAACAGCTCGTGTCCCCTTTTCCGTCCTCGTGATTGGTCTCCCTTGAGGTCTGGCATGCCAGTGGTCTTTCCACTGAGCGAAGAAAGGCTATTTCGCATGGTTGGGGGTGAGGCCATGTCAATTTCGCGTCGCCAAAGTATTCAAGGCTGTTGAACTCCGGCTCAGTGTCGCTTGTGCCTGGCTTAGAACTCACGAGCTACAGCTGCGCATTATCATCGTCCTCAAGTTGGGTTCGCTTGTCAAAGTTCAGTAGGGATTGCTCAGCAGCGAAATCTTCACCAAGAGCTCTTGGTCTTCCATACCACGATGTGCGGCCCAACCAACCCATTGGAGAGCTGGAAACGACGTCAATCAGCGCTCGGTTTCGCGTATGTTGGGTGGCGTAGCACGTAAACGGTATTGCCAGAGGATGGATATCAGTCTGCCCCCCTATACTTTCGTCCAACCAGTTGACCAGGCTTGTTATGAACGTACAGCTTCGTCGTTCATTGCTCTCTTTCGTTAACTCTATCCGCATCTTCGGCAAATATCCCAGAAGGACCACGGTGCTCATTTTGAGCCTATGTTGCCAGAGGGCTGTCTATTCTCGGCTTGGGACTTTCGCACATCCAAGCTACATGTATTGGCAGAGGATTCTTTCCGAAGTCAAATGTCTTTTGATCTCCTGCTATTCCATTTTCGACGCATATGAGCAGCCAAGCTATTTGACCAAGAGTATAAATATCAGCTTTGCATCCTTTTCTGTCCGAGACTTTCGGACAGACAATGTGGCCAGAGTACAAAGGTAATTGGTATTCTTCTGTTCTCGATTCGAGGCTTTTAGGTAGCCAACAGCCCTCCAAACGACCCGCAATGGCAGACTCTAGCGGGGGTTCGTTCTCTGTGTCCTTTTTAAAGGGGTCCCTGTATCGCCAGGAGATGACGAATAACTTCTGTCCTTATCTATCTGAAACTTGCGTGTACCGAAATGGCGTTGCTAAAGGCTAATCCTGTTATTCATGGTCATCTCGCGTTGAGGTATTCCAGGGCGAATCCTCGCTAAATGCCAAAGAAGGAAGGGTATTGAAGTTCAAGTACAGCTCGTATGGCGAGAGGTCGATATGTCGTACGAGTGTGAGAACCCACCTGCTACCCAGCGATCAGGGCTGGCAAACCTGGCAGCTCTTCAAGCGGTATAAGTTGCGTGACGCGCTGTGTCATTTCATTTACGAGAACCCTTCTCAGTGAGGTCAATGACCAGCGTGTCGGTCGAGTCGAACAGCCATCCCTCAGTCCTAGCCCGGCCGTGGAGCAAACTGCCAGAGTGTGAGGCAAGATGTACCAAGGGACAGAAGTTGCTTCTTTTCATCTGAAGCCGAAAACCAGCAAATTTGCCGCCTCACTTCTGGCCCTGAGGCATCACAAACACCAGGCCCAAAGGGTTGCCTAGCCAGACCGTCCGCCTCACACCTTCCCGTCCACGAGAAAGGTATATATCCCCCCTCAATTCCATTCCTGTCACCAGCACAGCAGGCGCCCCCTAGGTCGGGGGTCAGGTCAAACTGTGGCGTGGTGGTGGAGTGGTTAATGGTCAACAACTTCGCCAACCAGCCTACTCGACGACAGGCTCAGCGCATACCCGAGTTCGAATCCCAGCATGAGCACCATAAATTTCCCAGTATGAGCACCAAGAGATGTAGCCCCCAGTTTAGCACCGGGGGGGCGAACTCTTTTGTCTTTTTAGATCTCTAAATACTTAGTTATTATAGAAAAAGGGTATGTAAGTAGTAATGGGACTTGCCAATCTTTGAAGGTATTTCTATTAACACTACGTACGCTCAGCACCGTTACATAGTAATAGTATATACTTCTAAGGAGAATACCCCGCCGGCGCCGAGAGGGGCCACTAAAGTAGACGACAAGAGAGGCTAGAGAGAAGCAATGTGATTAGCGACGTCTTATGTAAGAGGCCTAGCCATTGTATGGCTGGAACTGGTTGCAGAGAGGCCAACTCACGCTTTATTAACGACTGAATAACAACTCATCTACCCTGCCAGACTGACTGTATGGTACGTGTGCCTACCTTTGAAGTTTCCATCATTTGACGAATCGCCAAGCGGGAGCAATATTTTCGCCGGCGGCTATCCATCCCAAGAAAGGCGCAAACTACCATTGTGGCTCTGCTTTAATGGGAATGACCACATCTTGATGTTTCGGTTGATCCCAAAAGGAAGCCGCATGTGGTGGTTCGGTTCTCCATGACCAGACGGCCTGGTCTTGATGAATCAGGAACCCCATATCCATCCCTCCAAGCTCCTTCACTTCCACAACAATTTTAGCCCGCCATTTCGGGTCAGGGGAGTCGTCTTGGAAACCAATCTGGCCCTCCCAGTTTCCCCAGGGATTCTGGCGCTCGACTTCCCATCTTTGGTATTCACTCCAATGGGTCACCAACATGCGATAGTGGAGGCGGAAAGCGTCAAAAATGTTGTAAATGAACTGGAGGATCCAGTTGTCGAAGAACGCCGTTCGTTGATGAAACCTTTCATACCACTCCATAGCTTCATCTACAGTGTCTATGCGCGGATGGAGATGTTCTCTGCTTGGCGGTGTCGGTCCGCGTTGAGAAGTTGTGTGGTACATTAATCTCATCCAGTCGGTGCGTGAGATTAACTCGAATGGTCGTGTGGGACCTCCATGCCCTTCTTCTTGGACGTGCTGGGACAGAATATCGGTCGAGTTGGCTGCGTTCATATTGTCGAGATCTATGGCAGGGTCCATCTTGGTAAGGTGGAGGTGTCGAAGACCCTCTTTATCGGATGCGCTGTGCGGTAATATCGTAGGTATAGAGCAAGACGTTCCAGTGAGTGTCAATCAGTGTCTTTCTTGTCGGAAGCGGTTCGGGGCAGGTAGTACGAGAGCGCTGGGACGGAGAAGGTTATATATCAAAAGTAAGGTTCTGTTGCTGGAGCATCCTTTTATATCAGAACACTACACATCTCCATAAACTACTGCCTAGGACACATGGCGCACCATGACGTATCAAGCACAGCTCTTATCGTGGCTTGAAGCTTCCACCGAAGCTGTGAACTTAATATCACATCGCATCGTACACACAAGGTGCGAAGTCAGGAAAGTGTGGCTCAAAATGGGTCAAGCCACATCGGAAAGTGGCATTGAGCAGGACAGTGCGAGAATATCGCTTCTCCGCTACTACACAGTGCATACCGCGATCTGCATAGGTTCACGGGCGCACTTACAGAGCGCTACCTTGGCCTTCTTCTGCAACTTCACGAATACCATCAATTGCGATCCACGACTACGCGCCTCTCCCGATCACGGAAGATTCCCATAGACTACGACTATGCGACAAGAAGCTCCACAGCTGTACCGGTAGCGATGTCATCGACAAAGAACCTCGTCGAATTTCCCGACGTGGAGGCGAAGCTTCAGAAACCATCCAAGCAATCCGCGTTCGAGAAACAAAGAGCCGAAGCCGAAGCTAAAAAGGCCCGCGAGGCTGCCGAAACCGCCGCAGTGTACCAGGACTTTGTCAAGAGTTTCGATCACGATGATGACGACGACCCGAGAACCGGCCGGTTTGGCTCGATGCCCTCACAAAGACCCCAGCCCAAGGTCCCTGGGTTTGGCGGCGTTCCGTTGGGCGCACCTGCACCATCCAAGCGACACTTTGGCGCATCGAATCCCAAGAGCGGCCCAGGTAGTCTAGGTCCTACTCCGAGCTTCAAGAGCGGCCCAGGAAGCTTGGGGCCTCCGCCAGGCTCGCTTGGACGGAAGAGAGGCTTCGACGCATACCGACAGGAGAGGGAAAGAGATGGCAGGCTCGGGTTCGAGGAAAGGGAGGAGCCGACTTCGGTCGCCAAGGTCTTCCACAACAGTGACGATGAGGACGAAGGCAAATCGGACTCGAGAGCTGAGGAAGTTGCAGTGGCCAGACCTACGTTGCGTCTTTCTCAGCTGCCGCCTGGAACATCACCTGCTTTCATCAAGTCATTGATCCCGACAAGCCTCAATGTTGAACACGTCAAGATTTTACCGCCTATGGGACCTTCAGGCACGGAGAAAAAATGCGCCGTGGCCATTGTCACACTATCGCCAGACACGCCGGCGACAGATCTGGACGCAGTCGTAAGCTCGCTACAAAATCGCTACTTAGGTTACGGTTGTTACCTATCGTTGCACCGGCATCTATCCTCGACAGTCGCAACCGCAACGACATCGACACTGGGTGGCACATCTGCTGGATCGCAACCTTTTGGTGCCAAGCCTGTGTCACAGCAGACAGCACCCGGTAATGCGACAACACAGCATGCCTTCCATCGAGGGTTTGCGCCGCCAACCTCGTATGCCCCAAATATTGGTGGAGCAATTAATCGGAGCACTATTCTTCACGTGCCTGTCAAGCCCCCAAACGATGTCAAGATGGTACAACTTATCAACAAGACCATCGAATCGGTTCTCGAGCACGGCGTGGAGTTTGAGGCTTTGCTAATGAGCCGTTCAGAGGTTCAACGGGAGGCAAAATGGGCTTGGATCTGGGACGCTCGCAGCGAAGGAGGTATCTGGTACCGATGGCGCTTATGGGAGATCGTCACAGGAGCGTCTGCTCGGAGCAACAAGGGACGGTATCTACCGCTCTTTGATGGCAGCCACGCCTGGAAAGCTCCAGAGAAAGGTCTGCCGTTCGAGTTCGTCACAGAACTTGATGAGTTCGTATCCGAATCGGAGTATAACTCCTCAGACGACGAGGACTTTGACGGGGAGAACCGCGAGAATCAGACTCAGGGGCCTGAAGCAGAGGCTACCTTCCTGAACCCCCTCGACAAAGCAAAGCTTACCCATCTCTTATCACGCTTGCCTACAACTTTATCGAAAATTCGGAAAGGAGATGTCGCCCGAGTGACAGCTTTTGCCCTTACACACGCAAGCCGGGGTGCCAAAGAGGTCGTCGATATGATCGTCTCGAACGTAGAAAAGCCCTTTGCACTGACGGCGGCCAACCCAGAGTTTCAGTCGAATGGCAAAGAGAAGGGCAGACAAAGGGATGATTCAGAGCCGCCTGAAGCTGAGCCGGAAGAGAAAGCCGAGAAGGAGGGGCCCGATACCAGCGGTGCAAGCCTTGTGGGACTATACATTGTCAGCGACGTGCTATCGGCCTCCTCTAGTAGCGGTATTCAGCGCGCTTGGCGGTATCGACAGATCTTCGAAGGAGCACTCAAAGAGCGCCAGACCTTTGAGGGTCTGGGGCTGATGGCTGAGAAGCTAAACTGGGGCCGACTGCGGGCTGAGAAGTGGAAACGAAGCGTTGGTCTAGTCCTGAGCCTTTGGGAGGGTTGGTGTGTCTTTCCGACAGAGAGTCAGGAACTATTTGCCAAAAGTTTCGAAAGCCCGCCATCTTCAAAGACACAAGAGCAGATTGAAGATGACGCAGCCAAGAAGGGTAGATGGAAGGTGGTCGAGAAGACCTCGATGCCGGCCGCGGATTTTGCCACAACGCGTACCCTTGACCAGAGAGCGCCAGAGCCAACAGCTGACAAGGAAGAGGAGGATGTCGAAGGCGAACCAATGGACGAGGAGGATGTTGCCGGTGAACCCATGGAAGAAGACGATGTCATGGGTGAACCAATGAGCGAGGAGGATGTGGAGGGTGAGCCCATGGTGGATGATGATGTCGAGGGGGAGCCGATGGAAGAGGACGCAACCGAAACGGCAAAGGATCAGTCACCATTGGGCGAGGCCAGCAGCAAGGTAGAAGCAGCAGCAGCAGAGACCGCGGAGACTGACGACACACATACTGCCGGACGTTTGCAATTCTCAGCCCAGCCAAAGGGACAGCCTCGGAAACGGATGAGAGCCGTGGACATGTTTGCTGACTCTGGGGATTCGGATGAGGGCAACTAGCCGCGCGTGGCGAGACGCGGGCGCTGGTTCTTGAAGTAGGCCAAGACGAACCAGGGGCGAGGCGGCGGGCTTGGGACGATTGATAAAAACTGCTCACCCTATGAAGATTCAGGGTTATCTGAAGAATCGTATTGTAAACGCATGTGTCTTGACTGGGCCGTGAGCGGGACGGGGTATATGTGGGAGGGATATGGCAGCCGTCTTGCAGAGGACGACGGGGCGGCATCCAAGTTTGGGCTGCCCGGTGCCGCTTAGAGAGAGCGCGGCATGGCGATGCATAAAGGGTGATGGGCAGACAGGTCCATACGGATATATGAACGGGACGAGATATGACGGCATAAGTGAAGAGTCAGGTTGACGGGTTTACCAACGCACCCATGAGAGCCGTCTATGTATTATACAGGTCTCTCTTTCTCTCGCTTTAGCAAAGATATCCAACCCAGCGTAAAGTTACGGCGGAGAAAGAAAGAACGAAGCCGTCTTAATGCCATCTACACAGCGAGCTACCTCCAATGCCGGCGAAATGCGGTTGCATCACAAGTTCCCACCTGGACATACCTCGGGGTATCTTTTTCTGGCTGACTTTTTATTTTTTTATTTTTTACAAGCGCTACGCCTGCACAGCCATGGATACGCATTCTTCGTATGAAGTGGTTTCTTGTTGGTGCCTCGCAGAGAAAGAGAGAGAAAGAGGGGTGGTGCCAGTGGGAAATGGTCGTTCGACGACCGTCTCGTTTGGTGAATTTTTGGTGGTGCCCGGATCCGGCCAATCAAAACTTGCTCACCTCCCTTGCCTCTCGAGCCTCTGACGGTGGAGTAGGTATGTAGTCGGATTTTTTACTTGCTCGCTCCCACCCTCCTTACGGTGACGACGGTCTTTCTCGCCTTTTTTTATTCCCCACGCTCGAGTTTCCTGATCTAGAGAGTTTGGCCGGGGGAAATGCATTCTTTTCATGGATTTGATTTGAAGGCTCGGAATGCTCGAGGTTGAGCATTGAGCATTCGGAACCTGGGCGCGATATCTGTGCGCGGCTGTGGACGACTAACACGGGGATGATGGGGGGGGGGGGGGGGGGGGGGAACCACCTCACTGGGACTGTGAAGGCTTGTGACGACACACGAGAATGGGATCAAGTCCGACAGGGATGGCGCATAGAGATATTCGGTTTATTACGCAGTAAATAAGAGGTTCTCTATGTACCGAGTTCCGACCTTTTTTATTATTATTATTATTTATTTTATTTTTTATGGGTGACCTGACTCCCCGGCCTGAAGCCTGGATGGGGAACATGAGTCTGAGTCTGGGCCGACCGCGGACTCGGCACCGACTCGCGGGAGTGAGAGGAGGAGCCAGTCAGATGGTCGGTCGTGATGTGTGAGCGTGTGTGTGTGGTCGCACAGGATTATTGGAGTCTGGACCCTTGACTTTATGTATAGTTCCTCTGATGATGGAGTTTCTCATGTTAAGATGCAAGAATGACACGAAGAAGAAATATGACCGATAATGCCTGCTTCCCACCACCTCGGTGGTCTGTCACCGGGTGCGGACAACAAGAATGGAGATATTGTTAGGTAGCCGCGGTGGGTGAGAAAACGGGAACTCGGTACTAAACGGCGATCCAGAGTTAGCTTCTTATCGAGTTGGGCAGCGTATCCCGGCAGAGAAAAAGGAGCAGCGCGGCTTATTCTATAGCCGGAGCTTTTTCTCTAGTCAGCCACATCTCTCTCACCTCTCTCTCTCTCTCTCTCTCTCTCTCCTTCTTCTCCCTTTCTCGATGCGATGTGTATTGTGCTGGCTGGTAGGTAGTATATTCAGCATCTTACACTACCTCGAGCACCCGCCGACGGTGAGGGAAATAGACGCTCGGGACGCTTCTGCGGCGAACGCCATCTCAACGTGGGAAGCGCGCCGACTTCCAGCCCAAAGAGTACGGGCTTGACGGGCTGAGGTTAAGTCCCAACCGCGCCCCGGCTTACCATTCTGAGCACACGCAGCAGAGGTGAGTTGCCAGTACTGCTGGGTTGGCCCTGCTATGCTGTGGGATAACGTGCCTTAGAGTTGGTTAGAAAGTTGCCGTCAAAAAAGCTTGCTCCGAACACCGAGTGAGAGAGTGAGAGATAACGAGAAGGGATCATTTAGGGTCATCTCATGTTCGACTCATATAAGGCATTGAGGCAGGCTGTGAGAGAACTTGATGTGTGAGCTCGGATTGTAAGACGAGGTTGAGGTGGCATAGCCGGAAAGGGTATCTGTCTGTGTACTTGTCCCGTGGGCTCAGGTAGACGGACAGGGCATGGCATGCCGTCTGTGATGAGAGCTGCAGACAGACCCCTCCTCCCGCCCGGGCTTTCATCACACGTTCTCAGGTAAGCATGCTCGTCAGTACGCTGTAGGCACTGAGCATTCAGTCTCTGTACTTTTGAAGATTATCTCTGTCATCTCTTGTGTATGTACTGTGGTAGAGTAGGGTATCCGAACAAGGCGGAAAGAGAAGCAGGCGGCGGACAGCAAGACATGTAATAAACCCCCGCACGTGGGGCTGTTTCGATGCGCTACCGGGATCCTCAACTGGCTCGCTCACCCCCCTCCCGCCCGCCGCGCCCCATCCATTGTCCACACCCACCGTCCACGCCGCTGTTGCTCGTGCTTCTCTTGCCGCTGCTGGGGGCTCGGAACTGGTACTCACAGTCTCATACCTACTGAGGTGGGCTGGACTACCTTAGACGATGCCAAGGACCAAGGTAGGACATCGAGAATAGGGGCCGCTAGTGCTGGTAAGGGACCCAGAGCTACCCGAGAAGAGGCAAGTGCCTTTACGCAGTAATTAAGGTAGGTAGGTACCCAAGGTAGGTTGGGAGTTGTGACTCTTGATGGATTCGGATCGGGGGAAGGAGCGAGGAAGAGGAGGAAAGAAAGGACCTGCCTTGACTGCTTCAAGTCAAGTTACCTTACCTAAGTCTTACTCGACTCGAGCAGGTGCTGCTGGTGTTGTTCCTTCCTCAGTCACTGTGGACTATCCGTACCGGCCAAACCCCGTCTCCTCCGACGTCCTTTCCCCCCCAAACGGTCCACTGGGCCGTTTCCTGTTCCCACGGTCGCTGTTACCGTACCACCTCACTCACTACCACTACCACTACCACTACCAGGGCAGGTCAGGTAAAGGTAGCAACGATTCCACTGCTTTGCCGACCCGGCGGTTCCTTCTGAATCTGCTTTCCTTCAATACCCAGAAACCCGCCCTTACACACCATTGCGCGCAGCTTTAAACCTCTTCACGCTCGAAACGCCGCTCGTTTCTCTCGCCAATCTCCAGCTCCTTCCAATCCCGCACTCCTCACCTCGACATCGTTACCGAATTGCTTTGCGCTGCAAGCCCCACGACCAATTATACCGCCGCCGTCCGTTCAACCATCACGTGGCCACTCTTGCCCGCTGAGCCGATTTCACCCAACGTTGCCGGGTACATAGCTCGCTTTCTTGCGTCGCAAAAAGCCCAGCAGAGAGATCCAGCAGCGGCCACGAGCCAAACGACGACCAGAACCAGAACCGAGACTCGACGACCGCCGCCGCCGCACCTTGAGAGCTGGCTCCCGCCTTCATGTTCCACGCCGCCGCTCACTCCCACCGTCCGAGGTCTACTGGGGTCGACGCCTAAGCGAGCGAGATTCATCGCAGCTTTTCAGTTTTGCAATCACTTTTTGAGAAACCTTCAGGCTCTATCTCAATCTGGACAATCGCCAAATTCTCTTTCGCCCTCACGTATCACAGCAACCTTGAGAGCCACCCCCACCACAGCCCACCATGCCGCTCATCAACGGCCAGAAGATGGCTTGGTAAGTCGCAACGTCCTCTTTCTTGCGTCCCAGTCCTCCGGCGTCACTCCTTCTTTTCGCTTCTTCCTCGTCGTGTTTACCCTCGTCTACCACGAGACGCGCGACTTCTGTGCCCATCCTTGGAACCCCGCATCCTGCTTTCTAATGGACACCGAGCTGACGATTTCGCTCTCCGCCCTTCAGCGAGCCATGCATCCGTGGTCATCGCTCCACCAAATGCACCCATGCGAATGAACGTTTGATGGTCCCTGTTCGAAAGCCCGGCAGACCTTTGAGCACTTGTCCTCATCCCCCCGCCCGCGGTTGCGGCTGTGGTAGTGTAACGGCCGCCATCCCGAGAAAGCAGAAATGCGGCTGCGGTTCCAGCAACGCCGGAACGCCCGCAGATTCACCCAGTGTCGTCAAGGCAGAATCGCCTGCGAGTGACACCCCGCCAATGTCTCCGACCAAGGCATCCGCTGCCTCTTTTCGCATACAAAAATCCGCCCCCAAAGCGACCAGTCGCAAGCAGTCGTTCGACCCCGTGAATCTCGAGAGGATGGATGCCGCCAATATCAACATATTGCCGCCCTACGACATAGCTCAAGCGAATCACGTGCCACACGCCAATGGCGGCATGCCGGGCATACCCACACCGAGAAACGGGATGGAATACGGCGGTATGACCATGATGGGCGGTGTTAACGGCGGGTTCCATCAACCCATCATGTATCCAATGTTCCCACAGCAGATGCCCGCGCCCATGTTTCCCCCAGGACCCGCCATGTCGATGCCTCAGCCGAATGCCGTGTCACCAGCCGTCAATACACCACAAACTGCGACAACGCCCGTTCCGATGGCAGCGTCGAATGGGGGATCTTGTTGCTCAGGAAAGGTCAACGGGACGCCGAAGCCCCCCCCTCCGCCCTCGCTGACGAGCACCAGCACGGGTGGCTCATGTTGCTCAGGGCCGAGCAAAGCCGAGGGGAACTCAACACAGCCTTCTAGTGTCAGCTCGAGCCCCAAGACGCAACCAAAGCCAAAGACGGGTGGCTGTTGCTCCAGCAAGGCGCCTGCAATAGACACAAATGTACATCATATGTCGAACGGCCACATGTCGCCGTCGAGCGCCATAGCCATGTCACCTTTCCAGACACCTACCGCCATGCCTCAGGGCATGTTCAACTCGTACTTTCAACCGACAATCTTCACATACCCGCCTCAATACGGATCTTGGATGTCACCGCTGCAGCCTGCTCAGTGGAAGCAGCAGATGGAGGCGCAGCAGTATGGACACCCAATTCCGCAGCCGGCCGCGTACGGCATGCCGAACTCGCTCTTTACCCCAGATGGCACAACCCCGATGATGCCCGAATCAACATCACACATGTGTAGCTGTGGCGACGGCTGCCAGTGTGTGGGCTGCGCGGCTCACCCTTACAACGATGCGACGCAAGACTACGTGCGATCCGCATACACCAGCATGCTGGACGACTCTTACGGAATGACGAATGGCACGAATGGCACGAATGGCACGAATGACACGAATGGCACGAATGGCACGAACGGCACGAATGGGCACTCGGAGACGGCGACGACCAACGGGACTGGCGCCCGTGGAATGGATGTACACACGAATGGCGAAAATGGGGGTTCTCCTGCTGGTCCGCAAACGCCTTCCGATGCAGCCTCAGTGTTGAGTGAAGAGCAGGCACTGTCGGCGAACGACTTCTTCTTCGTGACATATCCGTTCAACGGTGACGGATGCGCTGGCGAGACGTCCTCATGCCCATGCGGCGATGATTGTCAGTGCCTCGGCTGTTCGATACACAACAATTCGCCCATACCCGAATCAGGATGAGGAGTGCTCGGGTGTGTCGAGCTGGGATCCGTAAAGGATTAGGTTTTGCGGGATGTTTTACCCTCGACGATGGATAGGAGGGGGAGTCTTTGACAAGGTCGGCATTGTTCAGCCGTTTCTCGATTTGCATACGCGGTGTTTGGAACGATACCCTCTACTAGCCGCATCGCAGTACTGATATAACAAGTATTTGCTCATAGAACGTTTGGCGACTCGGTGATTGAAATCGAATCAGAAACTATTCAAGCCTTTCCTCGAGTACCTTGCGCAGTGAAGCTAATAATGAGTCGGGAGTACCTGGTTTGAGAGAGTCCCGAACCGCGGCCCAGGCGATAAGCCCGGGGTTAATTGCCGTAATCTAGGCAATGTTTTCGGAGCGGTCGTAGACAGGAGAGGGGGAATCGGCACGGTATGTGCCTTCCGGCGCCGAAATTGGGGTACTCACTGCTCCGGTCCCCAGCCACGCCGCGAGACCAGGGAAGTCTCCAATATTTTTCTTACCGTCAGGAGGCACGGACGTTGGCCTCTCGCGCAACAACATCACCGCAAACGATCAACCTTCAACCTACATTGAAATCCAGCGCCATCACAGATTTTCACATCGCGAGGCTCACACATGTGCACTATCTGCCGTCGCAGAATTCATCTTCACCTACCAGAACCATTCGGCATCATCCGAAAGCTCCTTCCCCACCTCTTTGGGCGCGCAGGCCAATTCGGCTGATCGGCTTCACCGTCGCGGCAGATTCTCGACGCCTGAAACTGTGATCAAACAAAGAGACGGCACGATTCGACGTTCGACCTGAGATCCTTACCCCACACACCCATCGTTTTTTTCGACTTCTCTTGTCGAGGGAGGAAACACCATCCTTGTCAAAAGATATCTGACGTTGCGACCTTGCTTGTCACATTTCTGGGAACGAATCCAAGACAGTGAAAAAAGCTTGTTTTCCGAGGATCTCTTGAAGGACGTTGTCGCAAACAGGCAAGGAGGAGGTCTTGTGTGTGTTTACGAGGGTCTTATCGTGGATCTTTCATCTCCATCTCATCCCAACTTGGCTCATCCTTGCTTCGGGGTGTAACTTCACTTCATTGGACGTCATTCACCTCTCCTCTGAACCATGGCCGGAGACGATGAACGCTCGGGTGAGCGGAGGGGCGAGGAGCGGAGGTACGGACGGACCCGCTCCCGGTCGAGGTCGAGATCGAGGTCGCCGAGGCGGCACCGGGAGGAAGTGAGGCGGAGATCGCCTGTCGGCGAGGGCGGTTCGCGTCGGGAGCGGAGGGCGAGATCACCTCGTGGAAACCGCGGCGGCCGCGACGACGACCCGGAGGATCGGGATTCGAGACATAAGCATCGACGGCATCATCACCATCATCGTCGGCACCGGGATAGTCCCCGTGATACTGCCGGCGGCACTGCTTCGAAAGAGAAGAAGGCGGCGACGGCGGCGGCGGTCTCGTTGCCGTACGAGGCGCGGCAGCTGGGCAAGTCGGAGATGGAGGTGTTTCGGCCGCTGTTGGCGTATTACCTCGATTTGCAGAAGCAAAAGGACATTCGCGAGATGGACGAGAGGGAGGTGAGGGGTCGGTGGAAGAGTTTTGTGGGGAAGTGGAATCGCGGGGAGCTGTCGCAGGGGTGGTATGATCCCGAGATGTTTGTGTCTGCCAAGGAAAGGGCTCTCGAGGTTGGGATTGAGGGGGTTGCTTCGCGGGGGGATGGGGGTACGGGGCTGGAGGTGGTGGGGAGGAGTGAGGAGAGAGAGTATGGCGGGGAGAGGACTGATGATGAGGAAGAAGAGGATCGTCGCAATGGTGAGGATGATGGCGATGACGACGATGATGATCTTGGACCGAGGTTACCGCCCACGCGCGGCACCGGCCAGCGTTCCGGCCCCGGGATCCCCAACATGGCAGACCTCTCCCTCCAACGCGAGACCCTCGCCGAAGACGCAGTGCGCGACCGCTCGGCGGCGGCCACGGACCTCCGACAGGCGCGCAAGGAGGACAGGAAGCTGCAGCGGGAGAGGCTGGACGACGTAGCCCCGCGCGCGGAGGCGGGGACGCGGGAGCGGCAGCTTGAGAAGAGGGCGGCCGTTAACGAGAAGATGAAGGAGTTTCGCGAGAAAGGGCTGGGTGGAGATGGAGGGCCGGCGGAGGTGGGCGAGCAGGAGCTCATGGGTGGCGGGGATAGCTTTGCCGAGTTGAAGGCTATGAAGGCGAGGGAGGAGAGGAAGAAGACGGAGCGGGAGGTGAGGAGGGAGGAGATTGCGCGGGCGAGGGCTGTTGAGCGGGAGGAGAGGGTTAGGGAGTATCGGGAGAGGGAGGAGGGGGTTATGAAGGGGTTGAGGGAGTTGGCGAAGCAGAGGTTTGGGTGAGAGGGGGAGGATGTGAGTGAGTAAAGGGGAATGAGATTGGCTAAGAGGATAGGGACAGGAAGGTACCACTGCCCTAGATCCCAGTCTTGAAAGATTGTTGGTATGTAAACCGCTGGTAGATGGCTGAATGAATGCTATCATTCTTTGTTTCTTGGACTTGACTGGCATTTTGCTAAAGGGGGGCTTCACGTGAGTTGAGAGAAAGTGAGGCAGGAACTTATCACACCCTGGTTTATAGTCCTGAGCTGGCAGATTGCTGGTATATAAAGCCGTTGATACCTTAGTTAGCAGGACGAACGCACCAATTCTTTGTTTTGAGGACTTATCGGGGAGATGTCTGGGCTGTCTGTGAAAGTTGGCTTCACATGAGTATAAGACTTCACTAGAAAGATGGTGGGTGAACAAGTTGAACTAGATCGAGAGGGATCATATTGGTTTAAGAAATATAATCTCGTTCGCTGGCTTGTCACGTTCGTCTCACTCGTTTGAACGATGTGTTACAAATGCGTACGGGTTGCTGGATAGTGAACGGGAGTTGCTTTATTTTTTGAATATGAGTCTCCTGAATGAACGTGCTTTTTCTATTGATGTGAATACGGGGTACCTTGATATGAAAAATGACTTCCTTGACGTGATTATGATTGTCTTGGACTCGACCAACTTGGACAAATGTGCGTCGCCTTGAATTGATACAAGATTTAAAAGGAAGATGGGCAGGCTTACCTCTAGCAAGAGAGCGGCACCTGTCAGCTCTCGAAGCCATGTCAATGCCTATGGAATTGAGATAGCTCATATCAGGGGCAATTAAAGGTCAACGATTCACATAACATGATCTCAAAGGTTGAGATGCCCATCTCAGAGACGCTGACGTGGGAGAAACCCCCCTCTCCTTGATCCAAGCCTGGGATGGCATCGATACCAACCCCCAGACAACAAATTCCCCCAATAACTCAATCAGCCATGGTTGTAAATATCCCCTTCCAGCTGAAGTCTACAAGGGATAGGAAGCCGGGCACCTTCCAATTGCTGAGATGCTTTCTCGGGGGCAAAGACTTGCAGTCTCACCCCGTACCTTCCCACCTCTTCCCTCCTGCCCTCCTTCATCCGAAGAACCTGGAAGACTACCCACCACCTTACTACTCAAGGCGCCTATTCACCTCCTCCTATCACCAGCACCCCCGGTCGGTTTGGCCGAGTGGTTTCGACTCTGACGCAGAGTCGCATTAAAACAAATACTCCAATGAGGCCAGTGCTGGTCCGAGGGGCGCGCTGTTCAATTCTGGGCAGGGGCGTGAATTCTCGAGTAAGTTATCACCAGCCCCTCCTTTCCTTTCCTTTTTATTTTTTTATTTTTTTTTAAATAAAAAATAATATTTCTATGCCTTCTCCATGATTTCACACTCAGTAGGGGATATATTTGATGTCCTTTTCATTCGCACCCCCGTTCTTTTTGTTTGTCCCAGTCCAGATATGCCCACCCAGTTCTTTCCTTATGCTCATTTCTCATAGAACCCAACTTGCCCACGACTCAGATATCACCATGCCGCAAGGCATCATCAACCAGTACTTTCCCTTTCATATCCGCTATCACCAACGCCCTCATGCCTTGCCCTCTTCCAGCAACTCCTTCGGCCACCGCACCTCATACCCGCTCACCGTCTTCTGGATCTCCAAATCACCCGGGTCCCCATCAAACAGCGGCTTCTCCATCTTCTTCTCAAACACCTGCTCGACAAGAAATCCCCTCTCCCTCACGACGTCGAAGAACGCCAGATCCTTGTGCCTCAACCACGGCCGGTACGACGTGAAAAACACATACGCCACGCTCCCCTCCTTCCTCGCCAGTGCCTCCCAGATCGTGTCGGCGAGCTTCCCGTGCTCAGAGTGCCGGAACAGAAGATCCGCCAACACCAGCACGTCAAACTTCTTCTCTTCTCCCTTCTCGGCTGAAGAAGAAGAAGAAGCAATCTCCGCCAGCAAAGGCTTCACATCCGCGCCCCAGACATACCCCTTGGGCACCACAACCCCCTCCAAATCCCCCGTCTCATCCACATTCTTCTGCATCGTCATGACGATATCCACATCCGGAAAATCTGAAACAACGACGCGCTCTGCGCCGAGAATCCCCGCCGTCAAACTCGGCAAGCCCGCTCCCGCGCCGAGCTCCAGCACCGTCTTGCCCTTTACGCGTGAGGGTTCCGCTTCAAAGTAGTCCGAGACGACGCGGCTTCCGTTCCAGAGGTGGTGCGCTTCTGTGGGCGAGTAGCCGACGAGGTGGAGGGTGAGGACGCGGCCCGAGGCGAGGGTGTGGGTTTGGAAGGTTGGGGGCGGGGTGGGCGGGTAGTAGTCCTCCGGGTCGGCGAAGAGGTCGCCTGTGCCTGTGTCGCCGTCGGCGACGTCGCTGGATGGGCTCATTGTGAGGTTTGTGTGTGTTGACTGCGAAGTGTGTTGTTGGTGGTGTGGGTGGTGGTGTGGGTGGTGGTGTTTTACAAGGAGGGACTGGAGGGGTTGGATTTTTGATACCCTGAATGAGGGGCAGATCCGAGTGAGACCCTGAGAAGAGTTGGCTGCGTTGTCTCGTTGTGAGAGCTAGGGAATTATGCGATGAGCTTCTCTGTAGGAGACCGCTTTCTTACTGAGTATATCTGTCTGGAACGTTAGTCGGGATTGTGCGTCAGCGAAGGTGAGATCAACTTACTTGGATGAATGCGGGGTGTAGAGGGGTGAGTCGCAAATGAGTCGCAATTTTCGACGTCTTTTTTTTTCTTGCGACGAAGTGGATGTGGGTACAGTGTGAGATCATCTTCAAATCCCCACCAAGTGGAAGCAATGTTGGTGGTCTTGAACACAGTGTGAAGCAGGCACTGGCACCTCATTTCCCAAGTCTACTTCCATCACTTCGAGTCAGTAGATTAACCAATTTGCAGAGTTGAGGGACACTCGGTAGAGCTTTCAGAGGGTATATATATATCCCACTGACAATCAAATGATGTCGGTTTATTGATCCCATGAGGAGGTATTCGAATCTTTTCAAACGTGCTTGAGACTCTTGTGAGCCATCGCCTGTCAACGACAACGACTTATCTCAGTTTGGTCTCTGTCCCCATCCTCATATGATACGAGCCTTCTAGGGAATTGATAAAGAGATGCCTAAACAATGCCTCACTCTCCTTTTTTTCAATTGGAAAATGAACAGCGTTGAAGAGAAGAAAAAAAGGCTCTTTATGTGATTCTTCTTTGAGTAATAGCACTCATGGTGTCGACCTACTCGCCCACCTAGCACGTACCTAGCACGTCACTGATCTCCCAAGCATACCCTATATAAGGACACGCAACAGAGGCATCCGGAATATCTCAAGCAAGGGCCGCATACCGGCTACTGATGCTGGACGCTGGGACTTGAGGCACAGAAGCTGAGGTGCCTGGGCGTTCACATCCACTCAACTCACCCGACTTCTAATAGAAAGAGACCTGAATCAAGGAACGCCCCTTCCAATGCCCATTACCCAGCGATCCTCACGTATTCGTCACAAATCGTGCAGATGAGCGTCATGACAGGCTAATGAGCATGTTCCTAATAAAGTGGGAAATGGGCTATGAGCTCTCCCATGAAGCAGCTCTGCTCTGCTCGCTCTCTTAGGACTAAACACTACCTCGGGCACGTATTTATAACTACTAGTTTAACAGCAGTCCAGCTATTTTTAAGAGAATACCGGCTAAGTCTAAATCAATTGAAGGATCCTATCGGTATGAAATAGCTTCAAATAGAAAGGCTCCATACGAATAACCTCCTTTTAGTAAAAGATAAAATAGCCTAAGACCATCCTAGTTCGCTTCCTGCAGAACTTACTCCTACTACTTAGCGACCCGCACATATTCGTTAGAGATCGTATGAAAGAACGTGATAGAATACCGAGTATATGCCTCCAAGCTTTGTAATGTGGGGTGCCCTTGTCGCTCTCTTAGTATGGAAAGGAACCATGACAGCCGGACATAGTCGATACTAACACCTGTGATGCGGTTTCTTTACCGCCTCCAGCTCCACCAGCAATGTCTTGAAGGAAACCTTTGTGCCATGGCACCCGGCCGCGTTTATGTATACACGATCAGGTGCAAACGCGTGCCCTCGATAAGGTAACGCAAGTAATTGATTTGCCTCTGAATGATGGCCATTGATTTAGGCATGATGCGTCGCAAATACCAATATGCGTATTTTTTTCACATATAAGTTTGAATTTCATTCCATATACTCGAATTGAATGAGGCAGCTACTATAGCATCGACGTTAACACAAGTTTCAGCTCGACTCAGCCATCCTTGACCTCTAAACCTTTCAAGACCGACAACTAAGGTGCTGGTAGCGAGCTGAGGACTGAGACTGCCAGCTAGTTATGAAGGCGGGAGGCTGTGAAAGATGACTTCATGGGCTAGAGATAGAAAACGTACATTGACATGTACTTGAAAGACAGCCAAGCTCTCGGTCAAATCGCAGATGTCGCTTTTCGAGAGCCCGAGATAGCGAATGCGAACACTTGATGGAGAAGTCTATGCCCTGTAAACTCCCATCCGAGTGTTGGTACTGAGTTAAGTTATGTTACTTCTGTAGTCTATCGCCATGCTGCTATCGAAAAGCTATCTAACAAAGTTGCGAAGCTGTTCCTCAGAAAAGGAAGGCTACCAACCGCAAGTGAGCCGGAGCTGGTGCTGACTAGGATATGTTGACTATTCGCTGAGTTTCAACGATACCCACTGCGTCTGGGTATTGTACTCTATGATGCCGAAATTTCTCCTTAGCGACGATGATAAGCTGCAAGGCTGTCTACCTACCGATGTAGATGAATACTTATACGACATAGCTGGTGTTGATTAGATACTTAATAGACACCCGTTGTTGGTTACGGTAGTCACCTACGTACCATCGAAGCCTTGGACGCCGGTAGTCCTATGACAGAGGACATCTTGACATTTGCGGCCTGGGTACCCGAATAGGTCCTCTTTCT